AGACAAACCTGCTGAATGCAAAGGCTGCGTTCGCGGAGCTCTGCTTCCGCAGCCGCGGCCAAGCAGTTCCTTTCCCTCGGGCTAACAGAATGGAGGCTCCAGTCTTTCGTTCCTGCTAGAAAGGGCCTACACCCCATCCCGCTGATCAGACCCTCCTTGAGCTTGCAAAGGGAGCTCTCGATGGTCACATCTGCTCTAGATGGCTGGAGCGCTTTTCTAGATTGGCAGATGTTTTCCAGTGAAGTCTTCTCTAGACTTTTGGAGGGAGAGGCTGTCTTATGTATTCATTATTCATTGTTATTACTGTGACGTGTATGACCATCGCACCAAGGAGCCCTAGTCCTGAGCTAGGCGCTGTCCAAACACACAACAAAGACGGTCCCCGCCCCAAAGAGCTGACAATCTAAGACAAGAGGCAACAGGTGGCTGCAGACAGGTGGGAGGCTACCGGGAAACAACGAGACACGCTCGGCCGCGGGCTCTGCACACCAGCAGTCTGATGGGGGTTAGATCGCAAGTGTTGGGCAATGGGAGGTCCATGCACAGGGCAGTGGTCTCAGGGTAGGAGGTTTAAAGTCTGCTGCAATAATCTTCAAATAGCAATGCAGTATGTTGAGATTCCACCAAATGTAGTGGTCTCCTGTGGCGGGAGCACCAGGGTAAAGCAGGTGTCCTGCTTAACGAGGTGTTAATTGGGCAGTAGGGGGGGACGGGACAGAACGAGGAAGTACAGAGAATGGGGGTTGGGGAGTTTGCGGACGGAAAGGTGGAGGCCTGAACTAAAGAGAGAGCTGGATTTTGATGTCTCCGTGAGGCAGGCTTTGCCACAGGGGGCTGCATAGAAGGCCAGATGTCTGTCTGCATCTGCTCCTGAATCGCTCCTTGCTCTCAGGTGCTGAAGGCTTTTGCCAGTGGGTGATCTCCGGGCTGTAGGCCCTGCAGCACTGCAAGGTGTGTGTGTGGGGAGAGGGGGTGTGTGTGTCTATTTGTGTGATATGGGGGGGCTAGTTCCTCCATACCCCGTGTGTGGTTGGAGCGCGATGGGGGGCCAGGAAGCATGTGCAGCCCTAGCTGGGTGGGACGCTGCCTCAGCATGCAGCCACCGCTCCAATAATTCCCAGCTGTGAACTCCAGGCCGGCCAGAGATGTAGTCACTCACATGAGAGCGTTTTCTCCCTGCCCCCTCCTGCCATCTGGCAGCGGTTAGCAGCCTGACATAGAAAGCGAGTGGAAAAGAGACGCTGATCCAAGCCAGGCCTGTTCGCCGGGGACAGCCCGCGGGCGACGTGCCTGCGCTCAGCTCCCACGCCCAGCCGCGGACACTCACCGTGCATCTTGACTTTCAGGTGGCGCTCGCACTTGGACTTGGCTTTTACCAGCAGGAAGATCTGCTCCTCTTTGGTGATGACATCGTCAGCATCCACCTGCAGGGAGACAGAGGCACATGGTACATCAGCGGCCACAGACGGAGCACTGAGCTCGAACAGGCTGCCCCGGGGACTGACGCTCTGCGCATCCCCGGCGCCCCTCACCAGAGCCCTTGTTACGTTCCCCTCACTGCTCTGATTGTGAGTCAGGCTGCTGTGGAGAGAGCAGAGGCTTCTCCCTGCTGTGAGCAAGTGCTCGGAGAGTCCTGCGTCCTTGCCTCCATCTTCTCCAGCTGGCTGGGCACGCAGGGGGAACGAGGTGGAGTAATTTACTTCCTCCCCGGAACAAGGCTGCAAGGCCAGAAGGGACCATCAGGATGATGTGGCCTGACTTCCTGCAATAAAGTCTGCGGCATTTCACCCCTAACTTTGGTGTGAGCGACAGCGTCTCATTTAGAGAGGCAGCCAGTCCTGCCGGCAAATCATGGCCAATCCACTACTTCCCCCTGAGGGGCGAGCTGTGGAGGAACCAAGCTGCAATCCCTTCTCTGCTCTGCTCCTGAGCCGCTATGCATCCTTCTTTAGTCAGGGCAGCTTGGAAAGTTAGGGTGTATTTGTCTACACTGGAGCCTGTGTAGACAGACCTGAGGTAGCTTTGATCTAGCTCGCTCCGGTAACAATAGCAGTGGTACACTGGGTCAGCCTGAGTGGAAATTCTAGTAGTGAGCAGAGATGGCCAACGTTAGCTAATATTGTGCTGGGTGGGCCAATATCAGTGCGAGGGGCTGAGAGGAGGGAGCAAAGAACCCCTCTTGAGCTTCACTTAAGGAGGAGTCCACCACGGATCTGCACAGATGAAAGACATGGAATCAGAGAAACGTAGAGCTGGAAGGGACCTCGAGAGGTCTTCTACTCTCAGGGCCGGCACAACCCATTAGGCGGTCGCCTAGGGCGCTACAATTTGGGGGGCGGCGACCGCGGCGGTATTTCGGCGGCGGGATCTTCCACCGCCTCTGTGGGGGGCAGCATTTCGGGGCGGGACCTTCCGCCGCCTAGGACGGCAGAAAAGCTGACGGCGCTCCTGTCTACTCTATCTCCCTGCACTGAGGCAGGACCGAGGAAACCTAGACCCATCCCTGAGCCATCCTGCGTCCAACCTGTTCTTAAAAACCTCGAGTGACAGGGATTCCACCACCTCCTAGGTGACCCATTCCAGCACCAAGCATCTTAGTGTCCGCAGTGCGCCTCTCCTTCCAACAGGAATCTAGCACATGTGCCAAAGCTTGAAGCTTTGGGCCTGCTGGACCGTCCCCAGAGGTTAAGCTGACATGATACAATCCTATCCATCGCATTTCACCTCAACTAATGTCCATAGGATCAGCTTGACAAACGCTTCTCCCTCCCAGCTCATGGGCTTGTCGGCAGCGGTGTTACATGTCCGGGGCTAAATTTCTTTTTCATAGGACATCAGGGTGAATTTGCCTAACTGAGCTTAAATGCTTGCCAGTCAGGGGCGATGAAATCTTCGTAATACTGGGAAGCGAGGGGGGCATGAGACCCTGCCCCCTCCATGGCCCTACCCCTGCTCCTTTTCTTCCTCCCGAGGCTCCTCCCACCGGCCAAGCCGTAAGCTGAAGTTGGGGAGCTGGGAGGGTGAGAGCAGTCCCCAGCCTATCCCCGCCCCCCACTCCCCGGCCTCCTGCCCAGGGCAGGCGAAGGGTCCGCAGCTCTCCACAGCTGCCTGGGTTCCCTGGGCCACTCATACGCGGGCCGGGCTCCAGCTTCTGGGGGCGGGGCCTTGGGGAGAAGAGGAGGGGCAGGGAGCCGGGGCCGTGGCAAAAATGGGAGGGGCCATGGCCCTTTGGCCCCCCGTTCCGACGCCCCTGTGGCCAGTCCATTCCCTTTCCCCGAGGATCCTGACCTGTAGCAGCCCAGCAGTGTTCAGAGCTTGAGTTTTTCCCAGCAGCAGAAAGGAAGACGAGGTGGAAGTAACACACATGAGCTTAAGAAAGGTCTCAGCTCATAGACTCATAGACTTTAAGGTCAGAAGGGGCCATTATGATCCTCCTGCATAACGCAGGCAACAGAATCTCACCCACCCACTCCTGTAACAAACCCCTAACCTATGTCTGAGTTACTGAAGTCCTCAAATCGTGGTTTAAAGACCTCAAGGTGCAGAGAATCCTCCAGCAAGTGACCCGTGCCCCACGCTGCGGAGGAAGGTGAAAAAGCTGGTGAAGCATGCGAGGATTCTATGGCCTGAGGATCTGTATTCACCTGCACATCGCACAGCATGCAAAGCGGGGAGCTGCCGTTCCATCCTATCCAGGGATGGGGACGGGGTAGTGGGAGGATCAGTGAATTAGAAACAAAGCAGCTAAAGCGAGATTTTCAAAGGAGCTGATGGGGCACCTGTGTGTTTAAGAGGCTGGTCTGGTGGGCAGGACATTGGCTTAGGACTTGGGAGGTCTGGGTCAAAGCCCTCCCCTGCCACAGACTACTTGTAAGACCTTGGGCAAGTCACTTAGCCTCTCCGTGCCTCAGTTTCCCATCTGTACAATGGGGATAATAACACAGCCCTGCCTCACATGGGAACTGTGAGTGCAAGTACATTAAAGCTTGTGAGATGCTGAGATCCTGCAGTAACAGGGGCTGTGTAAGTGCCTTGGATAAAGTCTGCTTTAAAAATCCTATCTTAAACAGTATGGGGCAGAGGACACACAGTTGAACAATTCTGATCCCATCCGGCAAAGGCACACCAGCGCGTCCACCATGCCTGCTCTATAGTCTATTAGACTGTTATCCCAGCCACCTGCGGCTTCCTCGCTGGTCCCTAGATATATTTATTCTTGTTCCATAATTAGAATGCCCATTGATCCATTCTGAGACGCCACGTGCAACTGTCTTGAGAACTTGCAGAGAGACCAAAGAGAGCTCGACACACACACACATAGAAAGGGAGGGATTTCTAGGGCAGGACACCAAAGTCCACAGCATGGAGGGATGAAGCTATTAAAAAAAATCCCATTGAGTAATACTTAAATACAGGAACACAGATAAATATAACACCAGGGAACAGCTGAGCTGAGATTCCAGCCTTCCAACCCCTCCCCCTCCCATGCTTCAAAATACCAAAGGAGTTAAAAATATGGAAGACTCCTGCCCCTTTAAATCCCACAACCTGCCCCCATTCATGCTGTTCTATTTCAGCTTCCTCAGGCAGGCCCTGGGCCACATGGCACCTGCCTCCATCAACATCCCAGCCAAAATCCAAGAACAAACATTGACAGCCGGGCTGCCAGCCCCTGCCCCCGAAGTCCGGAGGGCTCAGGAAACCGAGCCTGTAAACTTTGCACCCGGGAGGCTGGGTTCCTCCTGCTTGTGCCCGCCGCCAAGCCTGACCCAGCCCAACCTGCAGCATCCTGGCTACCCGGAGTAGCCCCCTCCCCTTGAGCCCTGCCGCCAGAGTGTCTTGGTACAGAATGGAGCTGTGATTAGAATCCGGGGAGCAGTCTGCACCCGGATCCCCACCCCAGCGCGCATTTTCATGTGAGCAAAAACAAAGATTGTCTTCCTGCCATTCAGCCAGGCTCCTGCGCCAGTGCATCCCAGAGGCCGGCCCGAGGTGTCGCGTGCATGCCCCAGAAGGGCTGTCCCCTGCTGGAGACAGCTCGGAAGCCTTCTGACCTGGGATGAGGTGGGTGAACAAGCACCATTAGAACTGCAGGGGGCAGGAGAGGTGCAGGACCTGGAGAGACATCAGCAGGCAGGAGATCAGGACGGGGATGCGTCATGGCATCTTTCAGGGGGCCGCCTGGGCTAGTTGCCTGCGTACGTTTGGCCTTGGGTGAATCCCTTTCCCTCTGTGTAGGGCCGGTCGGGAATTTTTTGGCGAACTGTTTTCCCATGGAAAAATAGCAAGTCATCAAAACCAAAACCGTGCATGGGAAAGGGTCGGTGTTGAGGAATTTCCCAACTTGAAAATGTGAGAGAGAGGGGGTGGGGAGGGAGAGAAGTTCTGCCACTATCAAAACATCTCGTTTCGACATCTAAATGAAAAAGCCCCGTTTCCCCGTCTGAAATGACTTTTCGTTTAGAAGTTTGAGCTAATGATAGAAACAAATCGTTAAAAAATAATGGTTGAAATATAAATGAATTGTTTCAAAATGACCAAATGGGATGCGCACCAAGGGCAACTGCATTGAAAGGCACCTGGCCTGGACGCAAGTGGAGGTTTGCAGAACCGGGAGGTGGAGTGGTGCTAAGATCTTTGCAGGAGTCCAGCTCTAGTCCTGCGGATCTCAGGAGCTTAGCTGCAGTTAAGGCCACCTCAGGGGACAATATGGGCCGACAGTTAACCAGGCGAGCGTAGGGACTAACGTTTGCACTTCACTCCCCCGGCAAAAAACATCCTTAGCCCTCTGCTCAAGCGCAGCCCCTCCTGTACTCAGGATGAATGCAAAGCCAAGGCTGACGTGGGGAGGGATTGCTCAGTGGTTTGAGCATTGGCCTGCTAAACTCAGGGTTGTGAGTTCAATCCTTGAGGGGGCCACTTAGGGATCTGGGGTAAAAATCTGTCTGGGGGTTGGACTAGATGACCTGCAGAGGTCCCTTCCAACCCTGATATTCTATGACTCAGAGTTAGGACCAGAAAAATCAGGACAGTGGGGGGAGTAATAGGAGCCTATATACAAAAAAGATCCAAAAATCAGGACTGTCCCTATAAACTCAGGACATCTGGTCACCCTACACAAGGTAGTGTGGGCGGGAACAGGCCTGGGCAACTCACACGGCCCCTCACACCTTGCAATCAAGATGACAACTGCTGGTAATTTTTTTTCACCTCTTGGCTTCACGTCACCTCCTTTTAGCCAAAAAGTTGCCTGCAGGGAAGGATCGAGGAATCGTTTCGGCGTTAGCAAAATGCAGAAAGGCCCAGCAGGAAGAGGGCTAGATAGTGATGCTATCCAGAGCCTGTAAAATAAAAAGGTTTTCCTTGCCCCCAGAGGAAGCCACGGGGTAATTATGATAATGTTTTCTGGTATTTCCATTTCATT